AAATAGGCTCCAAGGAGATTCAACCAGAACGTGCTTGATGATATCAAAAAGGAAACTAAAAGGTTACTGGAAGCAAAGTTTATTCGACCGTGCCGATATGCAGAGTGGATATCGAATGTTGTCCCTGTGTGTAAGAAGAATGGAAAATTAAGAGTTTGCATCAATTTTAGGGATCTAAACAAAGCCACACCTATGGATGGTTATCCGATGCCGATAGCTGATATGTTAGTAAATGTAGCAGCCGGACACAAGGTTATTAGCTTCATGGATGACAATACAGTTTATAACCAAACTTTCATGGCTGAGGAAGACATAGCAAAGACCGCTTTTAGGTGCCCCACGCAATTGGTTTATTCGAGTGGGTTGTGATGACCTTTGGTCTGAAGAATACCGGTACAACTTATCAAAGGGCGATGAATTATATTTTTCATAAGTTGATCGGCAAGATTGTTGAAATCTACATCGATGATGTGATGATAAAATCTAAAGGGTACAAAGAGAATCTAGCTTATTTGCGAGAGACTCTAGAATGCACAAGAAAACATGGTCTAAAGATGAATCCTAATAAGTGTGCCTTTGGAGTGATAGCTGGACAATTCTTGGGTTTTATGGTCCACGAGAGAGGAATTGAAGTTGTTCAAAAAAGCATAAAAACAATTGATGAGGCAGTTCCCCGACTACTAAAACAAAGTTACAATCTCTGCTTGGTAAGATTAATTTCATCAGAAGATTCATTTCAAATTTGTCTAAAAGAATTATGCTGTTTTCTCCCTTGTTGAAGTTAAAAAAATGATCAAGAATTCAAATGGGGTGACGTACAACAAAAGGCATTTGAAGAAATTGATGGCGGGGAAACGGGTGGCTATGACCTGCCTCCGCGTCAGCAGAGACAAATTTGACTTTGGTTAAATTTAATTGGAACAAAAGAAAAAGAACAGGTATTGCAAGTCCATACTTCCATAATTCTTATATTTGCATAAAAATTATGTTAATTACATCTCCGAAGAGAACACCCCTGATTAAGAGTTCCAACATGAGTACATGAAAAATAAGATTACATTATATGGCTTCCTATTACAAACTACAAAAGAAAACAAAGTCTTCGATCTTGTAGTCGTAGATATATGAATGTGCATGCTTGGCATAGACTTGAACTTGATGCATGTCATTTTATTTAAACATGACACGAGTTCATTTGTCGAGGAGTAACATATATTCCTTATATGATTGGTTGATAGCGTGTTTAGCTTCTTATCAGTCCATGATATACATGTATTTAATTTATACACTATGTGGTGCAACACACATTTATGTCAGCTAAGAGAAACTATTTTGTTTGAGTGATACACATTTCTTTGGTGCATTGTCATGTATGTATGCATGCAATTTACTTGCTGAGACTAAATTTGACAGTCTTTTTGGATCATTTAAGATCATGATTTAGCATGTTTTTAGATGCCCGTTCATGGATATATTCAGCATATAGTGCAATCTTTCATTTGAGCTAAGTCAAAGTATTTATTTTACCATGGCCTAGAAAGAAATGTTTGCATCATCGACTCAGTAGAGGTGCGTGCAATTAATTTATTTTATCAAGTTTAGCATGCATACTCATGGTATGGCACGATGCTATTAATTTGATATATTCTAATGACTTAGCTAAACATGACCTCTATGGGTGCAATCAGCTAAGATGTAACATTTAATTTACTCATGATGCTCGGCACCTGGCACGGAGAGCCTATGCCGGGCATAGATGACATGTGGAAATTATGATGAACATGACAAAGCCTATTTAGTTTGGGCTAAGTTCATGTGTTTGTAACATTTAGTTATTTTATTATACCAAGGCGCTGCAGTAGGCTAATTAGCACTAGCGGTCATGACATGGTATTTGGCACGAAGAAACTAATTTTCTTCAGTTTCTTATTTATTTAAATCCACCTGTTTTGGGTGAATGCAATATAATTAAGATGCAAGATGCATGCAATCTTTACGCTAGCCTTTGCTTCTATTTGCATGGTGAGGCAGATGTGACAGTTTTGATGCAACACTAACTTAGCATCTTGGTTTGTTCGGCACTGGTACTTTAATTTGATTATGTCACTGTACATGCAAAGCGAGGCATGCAAGACAAGTTTTGGGCTTGTGCAAGGGAGGTGCTAGCTAACGAAGCATAACATGCACAACCTTTTTCTTTTGTTTATTTATGACTTGATTATGTCGATACATGATCCTTGATGACTGTGCATCATGCAAAGGTTTGTGTCAACAACGGATGCTGGCCAGAAATAATGGCACGTTACATGATATGCATGCCTAGCTAATGGACTGAATATGCGGTGCGTTTTTAGTGTCCATTTGCACATATGATTGTTTCTTTGATTTGATAGAAACCGATGCATGATCTTTCTTCATGGCAGTAACATGCAAGTTCTTTATTTTGTTTGATGCATGATATGAATGGGCCGGCGTTGCTGTGGCCAAAACACATGTAGATTTGTTTAGATATGGAGCCGATTCGCGTCCATATCAAATTTACCATGAACCGGGTGGAGCCAAAGCGCGTCCACCAATTTTGTACCATGAACCTTTAACCGGGTTGGAGCCAAGATCGCGTCCAACCGAAAGTTCACCATGAACGTAACCGGGGTGGAGCCAAAACGCATCTAAACCCGCATTTCACCGAGGCATATTTGCTGCCTTTTTACACCTTCACCGGGGCATATTGCCCATGCGCAAAGCGCGGTCATAGCACTGTTGGCCGATCTTTTACCAGGGCTTGCAGCCCATGCGCGTAGCGCAACCATCACCATTTCTTTTACCTTTTACGGGGGTAAGACCTACGTGCACTGCCCATCCGCAATGACATAGGCCTGCCGTTTACTGATGCCGACGAGTTGCTGATGAAGCTCGTGGACGCATTAGCCGAAGACGAGAAGCAGGGAGGTAGGGACTAGAGAAGCGCCATGCAGCCTCTCACCTTCTTCTCTTGGAACCCGACGAACAGAACCAGCAGCTTTTGCTGGTAGGTGTTGCAGCTTGGTGGCGATGCTTCTGGTGGCCTTCCGCTTGGAACGGTGAGCGGCGCTTGGAGCGGTGAGCAGTGCGGTGCTGCGGCAGCCTAACGACAGTTTGTTTCAGGGGCTATGGAGCGGCAGCCTGGAGGCACTACGATCATGGAGCAGGGGGGGGCCTTCTACCGCTGGCCGTGCATAGTGTATTTATATGCCAGGGGTAGAGATGCAGTTGCCAGGAGATTTGGCGCTCCTTTGTTTTAATTTTCCTTTTGCTAATGACGCCGGCGCGGGAGTTTGAATTGTGACCGCGCGAGTTCATGAGAACGTGCAGTACGTACGTGGAGGACTCTTGAAACGGTGATTGGACTTAGTCATGCTAATTTGAATTTGAGTGGAAGCGCCATGGCTTTGAATTGCCGCGCGAATGCTTAATCGGTTATTCTAGAGGCAAATACATTCTCTTTGCCTTGCTGGCTGGAGTGTCGGTCATCCACTATTTTTCTATTATCAATACTGCCATTCAGTAATCAAAGGTATCCATTTGCAAGCACATGCCAAGAAGCTGCCATATCCGTGCCTCAGCTCCTTCTCTTTTTTTTTTCATCACTACTTATCTCCCTCTTTTTTTAATACATATATCACCACATCACTTTTACATGGTAGATTATGCCGTCAGAAAATATATTATATCATACTAATTCTATTTCCTTTTCAGACATATTATTTCACTATTATGTACACCATACCATATTTAAATGGAATTTGACCATCTATATTATTTTATTTAGTATGGTATAAATATTCTCACACATTTTGGATAGATCCAAAATTGGTGTCAACAGATGCCCCCTCGAGGTCCGGATGCGAAAACTACTTCGTACATGTTAACGGATCCGGAGCTCGAAACTTAAGATTTTTATTTATTTATTTATGATCTCACTTTTTTTTTTTGGAAACATATTTTGGGGCACTTGATTCATATGGAGATTTGCGCATATAAATGATATTTATCAAGCAATGACGTATAGTCTCACGTTATATTGATCTTTATGTCAGACTCTTGGAGGACATAACATTTTAAATGTTCGTTCTGTGGTCGCAGTTTAATTTTAAGAACTTTGGATTTTTTTTTTTTTTGCATTCGGTTTAAACTCATGATGCATTGAAGATGCATCGGGGGCATTTTTTTATGCCAACAGTTTAGGCTCGTGTTGCAATAAATCATCTTTTTTTTGTACCATTTAGGCTCATGGATGAGCACGTTTTTTTTCTTTCTCTCTCTCTTTTTCTCTCTTTCTTTTTTTGTTTGCACTTATCCTCTTGCCGCTTCTGGCTTTCTGGGCCATATCACGAATGAGCCTGATCCCCAAGATTATAGGAAGTAGTGGGATATTGGCCTCAACATAGGGGTTAGTTATTTGCTTCTCCCAACCAGGGTCTACGGGGATTCTCATAGATCTCTTTTGGGTTTCCACGGCAACAGAGACTCGCCTGCTCCGAACCAAACGAGGTTCTCCCATTCTTTCCCTTAATTTCATCGTATGTCTTTATGGTGTTCCTAAATCCTTTGGTTTCTTTCTGTTTACAATCGTCAAGGATTGGAGCGCCGAAGAATTTCAGTTTTGGTGGATGAGTATCCGCTCACCGCTACGACGTACGACGGCACCGGTGCCGAAGGTACGATGGTGCTGTTTGTCTATTATCTCTCCACATAATCATCATATACGACGCCGATTAGTATCCTTCAGCATTTGGAATGTAAATAATTTGATTGATTTTTTATTATTAGCCTGGTGTCTATCGTTTTGATCACGGCTTTCGTGCAGCCACTGCTTGACTTTTGTTTGCCGTGCGAATGCAATTTTTTTTTTACGTATCTATCTCAGTACCATATGTTTATATCGATTTATGCTTTGAGTTACCTTGTGGATCTGATTGCACTACGGCATCCATCTATTCCATCCTTTTTCCTTTAGGGAGATGGATGACGCGTCACTACCTTCTCCTCCTCATAGGACGCCTCTGTACGAAGTGGCAAAACTGCAACCATATGAACCCCTTGATAATGAAACGGCATGCCTTGCTCTCAAGGAAGAACAACAGATCGAAGGGGATTTTAATTTTTCCAATCCCAATCGTGCGTGGAGATCTCAACCTCATTTTCTAGCCCGTTTTCTTCACACACTGGCACCTACACCTCGATCTGATACGGCCTCACCTTTGGGCAGCCGAGTGGTGTTAGGTGATTTTAGATGGGCAAATTTTGAGATAGAGCACATCCCAATGCCTAATGGTTATCATGAATGGGCTGCCAGGGTTTTAACTAATCATTCATCTCATCTCAAGGGAAGCGAGCCGGGCAAGGATTATATTTATGGGGCAATCTTCTGTTCCTTAGGAAAATACCCTATATCTCCCTCCGTGGTAAGAGCTCTACTGGAGAGGTGGGACTCGATTGCGAACACCTTCGTATTCCCTTGCAGAGAGCGTACAATCACCCTCTTAGATATGAAGAACATGGCCGGTTTACCACTGGATGGGGAACCTTATGACGAATTCATTCCATCTCGTGCTTACATGGAGCCAGCTATGCTGCTGTATCCAAAGACTTTACTGCCTCTCTACAGGGCATGGCGCAAACTTGAGGACGGAGGAAAAGTTACTTTCCAAAAGTGGTGCGATTACTTTCATTGCACCCCAGGAAATCTTTCAGGTTTTGATAGCAGTGAGTTCTCCAATATCTATACTGCTGCATTCCTAACACTCTGGATATGTTGCTTCGCGATTGTTGGAGGGGGGCCATATATTCGACCAGGTGTACTAGTGACAGCCTCATGGATGACTCTGGGCCGCCAATTTGCTTTGGCACAACCTGCTTTGTGTTCTTTATATTACTCTTTAAGGCTTATTAGCACCAAGCCTATTAATCCTGCATCTTTGAGGAAGCTTTGGCCTGTCCACTATCTGATTGGCTGGATAGGGGATCACATACCAGCGGTATTTGGTAACAGAATGAAGCATGTCAATATCCCTGTTTGCCCGTATCCTTCAGTGCGGCCAACTATGCTGGATACTATGTCCAGAAAGCAAACTCTTTTCAGTCCCAAGAGTGCTCATAAGCTTCTGTGTAGAGATAAGAATATTTTGTGGAATCCCTACAAGCCTCTTGACGAGGACCTAACAGCTCAACCAAACTCACTTCGGACCAACAGAATATTTGATTTATCACTTCGTCGTGGTATGCTCCCATGGAGAATTGCTACATACAAGACGGACTTTTGCATTTTGGAGCCATACCACCCGGAACGTGCAGCTAGACAGTTCGGGTTGGATCAAGTTGTTCCTCATCTTCCGTTGACTAGTTTGGTAACTGAATCTGACGTTGGGATAGCATATGCTCACTGGCGACATCTTCTACGCCCGATATATGAGGACTCGCATCTCATACCAGATGAGTATCGTGTAGGACGTGCTTCACTGGCTTGGGTTAGATGGTTCAGTGCTTTCATAGAACCATTTAACTCCATTTTACACAGCTTGGGCCAAGATAACCTCTATGACCCTATCAGTTTCGGGGCTAGACAATGTGATTATCATATACACCCAAGTCTTGCTCCTCGAAATCTATCCTCTCGTGACTTGACTGTGGTGCAGAGGGTAGCTGAAGAACATCTTCAGGATTATCTTGTATCTATCATGAATAAAGAGATGACCAATAATGATCATTGGAAGAGAGAGCTGCACAACCTTCTGGGTGTACAGGTCGACTATCAGGGTCAAACAGCCATGGTATATTTTCCTTCTCCCTTGTCCATCATATGAACTAGTGTGGTTATAAGAAGATTAATTCTATTCTCATGACTGATTTTACTCCTTTCTTATTTTTTTTAGGAGCGGGATCACTTTGAAACAAACCCTGTTGCCGGTCCTTCATCCCAACCTGTGTTACTTGACAACCTGTTGGCAAAAGAGAATTTGATAGATAATCAAATTATTGTGCCAGTTGAGAACAACAAGAAGCGTCACCCACCCTTGAATATCCTTTCAAGAGATAATGGGGATCCACCAGCCAAGAGAAGGCTTGATTTTACTGATATGGATGAGGGTTGTGGCCCAGCCATTGCACTTGCCCCCAACGTCACTCCCGTTGACGAAGATCCCAATCAAGAAGATGAAGATTATACAGTCATTACAGATTTCGGTATAGTGGATAAGAAAGGCAATTTACAGCCTCTTCCTTCTATTGAAAGCTACATTACTACCACGGGGTCAGGTGGGGATTTTTCAAAGTCCCCGTATAATATGACTCGTGTTGTTCTTCCTGACATTGACTCAACTGAAATTTCAGCTTTTATCAATGGTATTATTTTGTTTTTTTTATTAAATCTGTAGATGTTGTTTGTGCACGCAACAACCATATTCCATTACGAACTTGTTTAATGTCTTTTTTTTTAGATTGTGGACAGCAGCTTGACCATCCATCCTCCGGCCAAGCGTTATCTAAGGATACGCAAAGCATGGACGCGACTGAGATCGAGAAGATTTTCTTGGCAACAGCATATCAGGTGTCACTAAAGGTTCTCAACGGGCTGGATGTTACTACATTGAAAGACCCGGAGCGATGTGCCGCCCTGCAACTTACTTCGACTAGTCTCCCTGGGAATTTTGCTAGCATTTCCAAGATCAAAGCTATGCTGGACAAACTGGTTGCTATTTCCCAACAATTGCAACTTGCCCACTCTGAATTTGAAGCAAGCTCTGGGCGAGTAGACCAAGCTGTTGGCCAGGTTAAACAAGAGCTTTCAGTTAAGAAAAATGCTCTCCAAGCTACCGCCCAGGAAATGATTTCAGTTGAAGAGAGGAAAGCTGAGCTTTTAGCAGAAGTTGCCAAGTTTAACCTTGCCTTGAAGGAACTGGAGGAGAAGGAGGAAAAGCTATTGAAGACTCAGTCTGCCCAGGAATTAGAAGTGAAGGAGCAAGAACAAGCGCTGTGTGATGCCACTACAAAGGCAAACAAGAGAGCCAATGATGACCTCCGGGCAAAGACGATGGTTCCTATCCAGGAAGCTGAGAAGCTTTTGACTGATCTGAACCAAACCCTCTCCCAAGTCAACTGATGGATCCAGCTGATTCGATTCGCTTTGTCAAGCTTTATGTCAGACTTTGAGTATTTTATTTCCTATAGTTAATTATGAACATTTATTTCTTCAGTTTATGGGACATGTGTCATGTTTCATTTGGCTTTGTAATTATCAGTGGTTTACTTCCGAACTATTTATTTAATTCAGATGTGCATCAGAACCTTTATTTGTTTCCAATGCATTGGAAGGGCTCATTGATCTGTTACGTTTATCCGTCTCTTCTTTTTTATACATAGTTGGTAAACCAATGTCCTGTAACCAAATATAGTGAAACCCATGGATTGCATGCTGCCCACAAATTAAACTTTGTAACTGGCACTTTAGACTATCTCATGCTGCAATGTAGTATTTTTTTTTCTTACAGTTTAGGCTCATGCAGGAGCATCTTTCTACTTTCACTTTAAGCTCTTAAAGCTACGAAGCATTGTTGTTTTTTTTTTGTAATTGATGCTACAGTTTAAGCTCATGAAGCAATTGAGCATATGCCTTCTTTACAGTTAGGCTCATGAAGAAGCATTTTTTTTGGGTGCTAACAGTTTAGGCTCCTGTAGCAATGGAGCGTAATATGCATATTTCCTCATGCATAGTAACGCTTTAGAAATTTTCCATTTACTGGCGGTGGGCAATACTCGCCATCTGGGGATATGATTCTATAAGCGCCACTAGAGTAGACATCCTTCACAATATAAGGACCTTCCCATTTAGGCTCGAATTTGCTTTGCATTCGATGAGTAATATTCATAGGCCGAATGACCGCTAGAACCAAATCCCCTTCTTTGAACGACCTCCTCCTTACGCGCTTGTCAAAAGCTTGGGACATTCTAGCTTGGTATGCCTCCAAGTTTTGCAATGCACGAAGACGTTTTTCTTCGAGGATGTCTAGTTCCCTTAGGCGTAATTTTGCCGATTCATCTTCATTGAGTTCTTCTTGATAGCAACTCTTAAGGAGGCAATTTGCACCTCTAGTGGCAGGACCGCCTCTCCTCCATACACAAGTGAGTAAGGAGTCATTTTCGTTGGCGTCCGAGTCGTGGTCCTATATGCCCACAAGGATTCGAGTAACTTTTCATGCCAGTGTCTCTTATTTTGTGAGACCATCTTTTTAAGCAACTTGCATAGCACTTTATTGAATGCTTCTGCTTGACCATTAGCGGCCGGATTATAACCTGTGGAGAAGTGATGCTTAATTCTGAATTTAGCACACATCTTCTCTATTTGTCTATTTTTAAAAGACGTGCCATTATCGAGATATCATTAATTTGGAACCCCAAATCGATATATAAGATTGGTTCTTATAAAGTTTTCAACATTTTCCGCTTTGACTTCTTTTAGTGCTACAACCGCCCACTTAGAGAAGTAAGTTTGCAAGAATGAATTTGTGTCCCTTGGAAGACGGGGATTTATTGGCCCAACTACATCCATTCCCCACATTTCAAAGGGCCAAGACATATTAGTAGTCGGATGTAATGGTTCATGGGTTGATGTATGAAATTACCATGTATTTGGCATTCATGGCATTTCTTCGCAAATTTCATAGAATCATCAAACATTGTAGGCCAATAATAACCCAAATGTCTTAGTTGGTAGTGTAGCTTGGGTCCAGATTGGTGTGCGCCGCACACTCTGGAGTGAACTTCATTTAAAGCTTTAATTACCTCGTTGTTCGCAAGGCGGCAAGTAAAATGCCATCGCATGAACGCCGATAGAGCGTGTCGTTTATACATGTATAATTCAGTGATCTCTTTCGAATCCTAGACCTTTCACTAGAATCTAGGGGCAAATATCCATGAAGGAGATAATCGAGAAAAGGTGTTCTCCAATCACCCATCTCAATTTCGTACGTATCTATAGTCATGGCTGAAGTAGATGGTATGTATTCTTCCTCAGTAAGTATGGGGAGGACTCTTCGTTCCTCTACGTGAACATCCACGGTTTGATATGGATTTAGTGACATGCTGGCAGCTAAGCTTGCCAATGCATCCGCTTTTCATTTTGGCTTCTCATAACATGCTGAATTTTTAGATCAACAAACATAGCCATTAGTTCTTTTGCCTTCCAAAAATATGGCAAAAGCCCTTGCTTTTTACCGCATATGGTTCCCAACAATTGGTTAATTATTAATTGGGAGTCTCCATATACATAGAGTGTGTTTAAACCCATATTGTGAGCCATTTCAAGCCCAATAATTAGAGCCTCATATTCAGCAGCATTATTTGAAACCGCTGAAGTTAATGTGAAGGAATATGGAAGTATTGCTTCGTCCGGTGTGACAAACACGACCCCTGCGCCTGCTCCTGATTTCCAGCAAGCACCATCAAAATACATTTGCCATGTAGGCTTAGACACCGTAGTGGTGAAGACTACCTCATCTAGCAGATCATCATCAATGGGAAAGTCATCAGGTATGGGATGTGCGGCTAGAAAATTAGCCAAAGCTTGACCTTTAATAGCTTTTTGAGGCACGAACACAATATCAAATTGTGAAAGGAACATTGCCCACTTAGCCAATCTACCAGATAATGTCATTTTATTTAAGATATGTCGGAGTGGATCAGCTCTCGAGACAAGATGTATTGTATGTTCTAGCATGTAATGGCGTAAGCTTTTGTCTTTGCAAATACAAGTGCCGGGCATATTTTTTCTATATCCAGGGCATTGCACTCGCCCGTAGGGTGCGGCTTAAATAATATAGGGAGACTTCTTTCCCCTGCATCATTGGTTTGTGCCAAAAGAGCGCCTAATGAAGTCGGCATGGGCTGCAGTATAGAGGATTAATGGTCGCCCTTTAATTACGCGCGCCTAGGACAGGAGGATTTGTTAAATATTTTTTTTATGTCCTCGAATGCATTTTGACATGCTTGATCCCATTGAAACGGGACTCCTTTCTTCATGAGTCGGGAAAAGGTTTGCACCTCTCTGGACAAAGGTTTGAGATGAACCTTCTAATGTATGCTAAATGGCCTTGGAGGCTCTTTAATTCATGCAAGTTTGTTGGTCGAGGCATGTCGACAATTGTCTTTATTTTAGTAGGGTCAATTTCAATTCCATGCTTGGTGACTATGAAACCAAGGAATTTTCCCGAAGATACTCCGAAGGCGCACTTCATAGGATTCATCTTTAATTTATATTTTCTAAGGCGGTCAAACACCATTTCCAAATGTTTTAAGTGATCTTTCTCGTGCTTAGATTTTACAACGATATCATCTATATAGCACTCAACGATTTCATACAACAACCCATCAAGGACAATGGTCATTGCGTTGCGTTGATACGTGGCGCTGCATTTTTAATCCGAAGGGCATCACTTTATAACAATATATGCCCTTGGGTGTACGGAATCTTTGTCAACTCTTCATCTTCTAGTGACATTTTTATTTGGTTGTAACCAGAGAAACCATCCATGAAGGAGAATATTTCATATCCCATAGTGGCATCAATAAGGATTTCAGAGATTGGAATTGGAAACTCATCTTTTGGACAGGCTTTATTTAAATCTCTAAAATCCACACATACACGGATCGCCCATTTTTCTTTTTCGTAGGCACGATACTAGACACCCATTTGGGGTATTTCACTTCTCGAATAAATCCAGCAGCTATGAGTTTATCAACTTCAGCTTCTATTTGTGGGAGAAGTTCTGGACGATATCTTCTTTGTCCTTGCTTCACCGGAGGAACATCTTTTCGAACGGCCAATTTATGCTGACCAACTTTGTTGGGTCTAGACCGGCATTTCTTCATAAGACCAAGCAAAGACATCTTTATTTGTAGAAAGAAATTTATGGTATTCTTCCTTACTTTCTTTAGATAGATATTTACTAATGAAGATTGGCCGAGGATCGTCGTCTGTGCCGATATTAATTTCTTCCAACTCATCAACAGTTGGTTGATTTCCATCTTCCATTTGTGGAGATGCTTCAGCAGCATCAAGAGGTTCAGCAGAGGTCATATTAACTTCATAGCCTAACCCATATTTCTCTTCTTTTAATGCTTGATCTTGGTGCAAGGCTTCAAGTTGAGCTCGAGACATCAACTTTTCAAATGGTGCGAGCTGCCCCGGCCATTGCATAAAGAAGGACCGTAGAAATATCATAGCCCATCTGTTGCATAATATAAAGAACTTTGTTGTCATATAAAGAGATGGGTAATGTTTTATCATCTTTATTTAACAAAGTGACCTGTGTAACCAATTTACTCTTATTATCCCTTTCAATTTGGGCTTGTTTTATTTTATTTTGCACCAAAGGAGGTAAAGGAGTTGGAAATGAAATACCTCTATTTTTTTGAGAGGGTTTACTTATGATCACGAAATATCGGATCGCCTTCCTTCCTTTGATTGCTTGGTATGTATTGGTATATCTTTTGGTGGATGAAGACTTGACATCTTCTATCTTTGGGATATTTTGTTCCAAGCGGCAATGATGATTTTGGTTTTGAGACTTTATCAATAGGCTCAAAATAAAACTTTCATCGACATAAAAGGATTTCGCTATAGTGAATGGTTTTTATCGTAAAAATCCTTATTACGCTCCCTAAAGGATCTTTATACTTGATGCATTGATGGAGAGTAGATGGAACAACTCCATTTTCATGCAGCCATGGGCGACCGATAAGAACATTATATGAGGTAGCCGCATCAATGACATGGAAGTATACATATGTCATAAGATTTTCAAACTTTAGAACCAGAGATATGGTACCCAATGCTTCTTGACCAGCTTGGTTAAAGCCATGAATGACAACATTTGAGCGACATAGGTCTCCTTTAGAATACCCAATCTTTTTAAGAGTGCGCAAGGGTAACAAGTTTATGGCTGAACCACCATCAATCATTATGCGATTAATGGGGAGATCATCAATCTCGCCGAACATAAGAAGGGGTCTGTTATGCTTTTTATTTCCTAACAACAGATCCTCATCATTGAACGTAATACTTTGAGTTTGGGATAACTTTACTTCTGCTTGTGAAACCTCAAC